AGCATGCGCAGGATGAGGCTACGTCTCTATTGGAGTGGACTCATACTCCGATTGGGCATTGCAGGCCCAAGGAGGAGTATGCTAGCACAATTGCTTCAACTATCCCTGTTTAATACTGTAAAGCTGCTTTGACACAATCTGCATTGTAAAAAGCGTTATATAAATAATGGTGACTTGACTTGACTTGATATAAAAATTAAAACTTTAAAATTAAACTTTACTTTGAGTACTAACTGTGCACAATGCACATTTCATAACATTGAGCCTAAAATGTGTTTTAATGTCACTATCAAGGAGGACTGTACGATCTTTGAAAAATATCTTTGAATAATATACAAAATTAGTTGTTCCAATTTAGCAGACTTTAAGTACACCAGTTTAGTATACTAAAAGTACAGTTGCACTGTATTTTAATTAAGTACATAAATATGTTATCATATTTGTATACTTAGCATGGAATAAATGTATTTCAAATACATTTTAGTATATTTATTTTTCACTATAGGAATGTCCAAATACTATGGTATTTACAACTGTTGTGTTGAAAATTAGTTCAAGTACATAATTCTTTGGTTTAAAAACTGTTGCCTAACACAACACTGATTTCATATATATATATGTTTGCATACAGATACAGAGATTGAAGGCTGTGTCTCGTACACTTATGAAGACTAAGCAAAGATTTGATTAGCAGCACTATCATCTAGGAAAACTGACAATTTTTTCACTATATCAGAATTGTAACCCCCCAAAAAATTATTTGGCTCTTTCTCGCTATTGTGCAATACTCTTTAAAACACCAATCCAATACTTCTGGTTTTGTTTAACTTGTTTATTATGGGGGTCATATCATGGGGAGTCTGTCCAAAAAGAGCATTTATTGAAACTAAACACAAGATCATTTTAAACAAGTGCATAAATCTATTGCTTCAGTCTGATCTTAATAGTTTGAGGAGCGATTGTTTTATGGATCTGTCACAATGTAATGCAAAAAGGCTGCTATTAAAGGATGAGGCAGTTAAACACTGAACTTGATCAAAAAGCAAATCCACAACTCGTGAATAAGAGCCGCACAGAGCCACTTATTTCAAAGGGGCTTTTTACATAGTTGATTTTAATGCACAGCTGCAAAATGGCCCATTTATTTTTTAGGGTCAGAGAGAGGTGGACAATAGTCATACAAACTAAATTAAGGCAAAAAGAAAAGTAATAATTCAACCCCTTTAATATATACATTATGATAGCTTAATTGGCCACTGAAAAACCTATATTGATCAATTGTTAATGTGAATATTGAGAGGAATACATACCCTTCAATGTGAATGTCAAAATATTATGAAATATTATTACAATTTAAAATAGCTGTTTTCTATTTGAATATATTTTAAAATGTAATTTATTCCTGATGCAGAGCTGGATTTTCAGCATCATTACTCCAGTCTGCAGTGTCACATGATCTTTCTGATTCTTGCTGCTCAAGAAACATTTCTTCTTATTCTCAATGTTGAAAACAGTTGTGCTGATTCACATTGTTTGTGCAAACTGTGAACAGCATTAATTTGAAATAGATATCTTTTGTAGCATTATAAATGACATTATTGACACTTTTGATCAATTTAATGTGTCTTTGCCAAATACAATTATTATATTAAAAAATTTGAATATATGAATTTCTTTAAAAAAAAAAAACTCTCTGACCCCAAACTTGCGAATGGTAATAAACCTGCATGTCATGTAACCAGTTACCAACATTAGAGAACTGTGAACACATGAAAGTATTCTGAAATTTTTGAAATATAAATCAAGAATTCTGGGAATTCTTGATCTATGGAGGTTTCAGCCCTGAATCCATATTGTGAGATACTTGCATTGTGGTGAATTCACTCGTCATTCCGATGAATGCGTTTGGTGGGACTGAACGCAGGTTAAGATTATCACAAATATACCTAAAAAAGAACAAAACCACTTTAGTATTTGAAACAATAAGCCCTTTTACTGACAAGATAAAGCTCATGGACAAAGTCTCCTAATCTAATACTTGTGCACTTCTCAGCCATTGTTCTGGCTCACAGCTCTCATAGAGTGCGTATGTCTGTATATCTTTCATAACACTCCATTTTCTGTCAGCTTGAGAAAAATAAAAGACAGCAGCATGCCCGCATTACAGCTTCATTATTACTTTCCATCATTCAATCTCACTCACCACATCTCTCACACAGACCAGTGAAATAAGAGCCGCAGGGTAAAACTCACAGAATGAAATCGGACTCCAGGGAGAAGATGGAGGTCAGGTCAGGGAATACACTTATGCCGGTGTTGGAAATGCTCCTGTAGATGTAACAAAACAATAGGACTTGGGTTTTTACCGGTACAAGAAAACGTAACCAACAAAACACATTGCCACTTTGAGATTCTAGCCTGTTATACTACATTCATATTTTGTGAATATACATACTGTATGTGTGTGTGCATTTGTTTTTCCTAAAAGTTACCCAAAAATGTATATATGATATATAATTTAATATATAGAGTTATATATATGTAATTACAATTTTATATATAAACTATACATACTATATAAAACTCTAAGTATAGAAAATATATATTCGAAATATAAAATAACAAAAGAGTGTGTGTGTGTGTGTGTGTGTGTGTGTGGGT